CACTAAGGTGTGAAGATTCATCATTTACTTGACTGCCTGACTTCGGGCGAGTGAGGTGAGGCGCTCCGTGACTGCCTGACTTCGGGCGAGTGAGGTGAGGCGCTCCGTGACTGCCTGACTTCGGGCGAGTGAGGTGAGGCGCTCCGTGACTGCCTGACTTCGGGCGAGTGAGGTGAGGCGCTCCGTGACTGCCTGCCTGCTGGCCGTCAAGTACCTGTTGCGTTTGAATTTAACTTTCCTGTCGATTGAATTCTTTGTCGAATCTGACCTTAAAGTTGTGGATGGAGGTGGCTTCCACAACTTCTTCTTTCTGCAGACGATGAGTCACAATAACGTGGCTGAAGTATATTGACCAGACCACACACTAGAAGGTGAAGGGACGACGACGTTTCGGTCCGTCCTGGACCATTCTCAAGTGGATTGTGTTCTTTCTGTGCACGTCACCTGTTGACTCCCCGTACTGGGTACCAGTATGTTCTTGTATTTCTTCCACTTGACTCCTTTTCCAGCTTCCGTACTTTCTTTCGGTTTAAAGAGGCTGTAATTGTCCACCTTGTCTATTTCCCTCAGTATCATGTATGTATTGATCATATCTCCTCTATTCTCTCTTCCAAGGTTGAAATTGAGTTTCCTTAACCTGTCTTCGCAGCCTAATTAGGCCAGGGGGTCTAATTAGGCCTGTCTTCGTTAGGCCTGGGGCCTCACATGGGTAAAGGGTAGCTTTTCAACATATATTTTATTCTCATTTGTGAAAGCTGTCCGAAGATTTACCAGTTCTGTATACGAAGGTAATTTAGTTTTTGTATTTTTGTCTCTCAGGCGATAGGTTTTGCCTATATTGACCGCGTACAAGTCCTTTGATTGTCGTGTCACCTGTCCAATATTCCTACCCCTTTCCCAGCTCCCTGTCATCCCCTCAAGGTTGGCGGAAGTTTAGGATAACTCAAAATGCTATTCGCGATCACGCAAGGCTTTCACAACTGTCTGCATGATATTTAACTCTATTAACAGGAGAACCAGCTTTTTAAGTTGGCGTGGTCAGCAAGGGCAATCATCTGGTGGGATGGTTATCACTGGGGCAGAGGACCCGGGGCAGAGGACCCGGGGCAGAGGACCCGGGGCAGAGGGCCCGGGGGCAGAGGGCCGGGGACTATTCACCCAAAGGTTTTCAATTTGGGGGACTATTTTTATATTTGGGCCCAACTTGGCTTTTGCGTCCTTTGTTGCGTCTAAGTGTAGGCAAGGAGGGAGCGGGGTGAGGAAGGGGACCGGGATGAGAGAGAGAGGAAAGGGTAGAAAGGGAGAGGGAGAAGGGGTAGAGGATGGGAATGGAATGCATGGGATAGAATGCCTTCCATAGACATAGCTGCTTACATACATAATCAAAATATATCTATACATACGGTGTGGGACTAAGACGAACGCACAACATTGCTGGACTGATATGTATAAAATATGTATACTATATATATCCTCAGAATGATCAATAACACTGACCACAATAATGCCGCATGTAACCACATTGAAAGGATGAGGGAATGCTGTAGCGCTTCCGACCCAGCAAGTGGCCTTCTACAGGAAAATGACAGAATTCAGGCCAGGCCGACCAGATATCTGGAACCCTCCTTCACTGTCGTTCTTATGGCGGGTTCCTGCTTCTTGCTTTTGAAGAACTGCGTGACATAGCCGCTAGAGGAGTTAACAAGGATAACAAGGGAGGGAGGGACGGAGGGATATAGAGGGAGGGAAGGAAGGATATAGAGGTAGGGGTGGAAGGGAGGAGAAGGGCTAGAGGGATGCGGTTGGGCAGGAATTGAGGAGAGGGTTTGAGGCTGGAAAAAAAGGGGGTTGGGGCAGTAAGGGATGGAGGGAGGGGAAGGTCAGAGAGGGAAGGGAAAGTGAGAGAGAGAGAGAGAGGGAGGGAGGGAAGGGAAGAGTGAGAGAGAGAGGGAGGGAGGGAAAGGGAGAGAGAGAGAGAGAGGGAGGGAGGGAGTGAGTGGAGACGCTAAGTTGTTTACTTGGAAAAGTAAATCTGTAACCCCAACACCGAGCAGGCACTTGACCCTCACCCCGTTCTGGGTGACACCCGACATCCTCTGCCTGGGCGACATCCTAACTGGGTGTCACCCATCAGACGCTGACTGGGTGACACCCATCAGACGCTGACTGGGTGACACCCATCAGACGCTGCATGTGTTAATCAATTTTGCTCTCATTAACACATTTAGGTACATGTGCATTTGTGCAGCTTCCCTAGACTATATGAAGGGGAGTACAGTGTGTCAAAAAGCTAGCTACGTGGTGCTAAAATTCCCCATCACACAGGATGGTTAGTCATACAGAGGCATGTGATCAGCAGTCTGCACTGACAGACTCCGGATGCATTTTGAGGATATCAACAACACAAGAGTAAGGTAGCAGTGGTAATAAAAGTCCCCATCTCGCAGGATGGTTAGTCATACAGGGCCATATGTTTAATAGCCTGCACTGGCAAATTTTGGCTACACTGTGAGGATATCTTCAAGAACACGAGAGTGAATAAAGTAATCGCAAAGCTCCAGGTACCTCATGCCAACTGGTCTGAATGGTCTGATAATTGGGCATTCCGTGATGTAGTGCGGGAGATCGTGCCGCAGTTCCTGCTCACATAGTTTGCAACTGGAGTGCTCAGGATTGGGAGATCCGTCACCTGTAGCCACCTGCCACAGGTAACGGTAACCCAACCTGATCCTTGCAACCACTGTGTCGCACAGTCTGGTGGACGTTTTGTGCTGCCCATAGATGTAGGTTTCAGATCTGAACAAATCAAAGCTTTTTATACTAGTACTTTCAGGTCGTTGGGAGTCAGTAAGTTCTTTCCTATCAGATCTGAATTTTTGGACCAATATAGTTTTGACAGCAGAGATGGGGATACCTAGATCTAATTCAACTTCAAACTTGTTACACGCTAATTTGGCTGCAATGTCTGTCTCATTATGATGGGTTATATTTATGTGTGAAGGTATCCATACAAAGGAGTACAAACAGCAATCGAACTGCTAAGAATCTACGGTGTTGTTACCCACAGTTCACTATGTGTCCTGAGGTGGTTATCTTGAGGTTATCTTGAGATGATTTCGGGGCTTAACGTCCTGGCGGCCCGGTCCTCGACCAGGCCTCCTTGTTGTTACATACCCCCGCCCCCCAGGGAGCAGCCCGTAGCAGCTGTCTAACTCCCAGGTACCTATTTACTGCTAGGTAACAGGAGCATCAGGATGAAAGAAACATTTTATCCATTTGTCTCCGCCTCCACCGGGGATCGAACCCGGAACCTCAGGACTACGAATCCGAAGCGCTGTCCACCCAGCTGTCCAGGGGTGGAATGAAGGGTGAACTCAATGTCCGGGACCTCTCGTGTCTCCTGAAGTGTAGTGCCAGGACCCACTGTCCCCCAGGACCTGCTCAAACCCTCGAGGTCAACACACACACACACACACACACACACACACACACACACCACACACAAGAGTCAGGAGAGACATGATAGCCACCTTCAAAATTCTCAGGGGAATTGACAGATGGATAAAGACAAACTATTTGGCACGGGTGGAACACGAACAAGGGAACACAGGTGGAAACTTAGTGCCCAAATGAGCCACTGAGACGTTAGAATTTCTTCAGTGTCAGAGTAGTTAACAAATGGAATGCACTAGGCAGTGATGTGGTGGAGGCAGATTCTATACACAGTTTCAAATGTAGATTTAATAGAGCCCAATAGGCTCCAGAATTTGTTCACCAGTGGATTGACAGTTGAGAGGCGGGACCAAAGAAACAAAGCTCAACCCCCGCAATCACAACTAGGGGAGTCCCGTTACCAATGGCACTTACACTCTGGTAGTCGGTATCTATTCTAATGCGAGATGCCTGAAACCCTTGCAAATCTTGAGGCCACTGACTTGAACAATGATTCTAGCTACTAATGTTACTTATTTTGATGCGTTCCCGCGTAATTTGACTCCACGCTAGCTACCCCATAGGTCGAGGTCTCTTTCTAGGTATACACTACCTCTATATTGCCCGGTGGGACCACGATCCTCTTCCGTGGACCGAAGCCGTGCTCCAGTCACACTGGCAGCAGTAACACGCTTCTTTATTATTTCAAAAGTGCATTAGGTGATGAAGTAAGGAGTGACTCGCTGCCTGCAGGCCGTTGTGATTCAATAAGAAGTTGGTTCGAGCACTTTGATACATCTTTAAGTCGACGAGACAACTACATTATTCGAGCAGTTGCTTGAATATTGCATATTTTTAGTTTATTGGTAGTTGCCTGAAGAGGCGTCCGGTTTTGCGAGGGTTTTTATTGATACCCGCTTGATGGGGTTGTGGGAGCGCTGCTCCCTCAAGCCCGACTTCGTCCAAGAAGCTGTTGCTTGGAGCGGCCCGCAGGCCCACATATCCACCACAGCCCGGTTGGTCCGGGACGTCTTGAAGATAACTGTCTAGTTTTCTCTTAAAGATGTCCACGGTGGTTCCGGCAACCTAGAGTATGGTTTCAGAGTTGGGATTGTGTTTGAAGTATCACATGTTCTTCTGTTCTATCTTGGGTTCTCAGAGCTGTAGCTGCTTAGCTGTACATTTAGCATTACTTGGGGTAATGTGCTATGCTACATAACATTTATGTGGCATAGTCCTGTGGTAACCTTCCCATCTCGATAGATCTATTTAATTTTTTATTGATGTTAAATTTAATTTTGGCATGAGATTTTGAGCAGTCTTTTTCTTGGCTGTAGTCGCATCGGAAAACTGTGACTCTCTGCCGCGATATGAGTTTATACTGATCAGTGCTCTGATTTCTCCATTTTTATCAGAGAGATTAAGAATGAAGGATATTTTTTTTCGTACTTTAAACTGTGGAGTCTTTTTATTCAGTGCATTCCTATAGTTTATCAGCTCTGAAATTGTTGCGTTTAAGTAAGCAGTATAGTTTGAATTCAATTTCTGTTTGTTTCCAGAATATATCACTATATCTGGCATATAACATTTGAAATACCAGTGTAGCCAAGAATGCCATGACCATCTTGGTCCCCCTCAAGATGCACCTTTCTACATAATGATTTACATTTAAGGGTTAAGTCGGCTGCTAGTGGGGTCGCGACACCATTTAGGGATCTGGTCGGCTGGTAGGCTGCTAGTGGGGGCGTGGCACCATTTAGGGATCTGGTCGGCTGGTAGGCTGCTAGTGGGGGCGTGGCACCATTTAGGGATCTGGTCGGCTGGTAGGCTGCTAGTGGGGGCGCGGCACCATTTAGGGATCTGGTCGACTGGTAGGCTGCTAGTGGGGGCGTGGCACCATTTAGGGATCTGGTCGTCTGGTAGGCTGCTAGTGGGGGCGCGGCACCATTTAGGGATCTGGTCGGCTGGTAGGCTGCTAGTGGGGGCGCGGCACCATTTAGGGATCTGGTCGTCTGGTAGGCTGCTAGTGGGGGCGTGGCACCATTCAGGGATCTGGTCGGCTGGTAGGCTGCTAGTGGGGGGCGCGGCACCATTTAGGGATCTGGTCGGCTGGTAGGCTGCTAGTGGGGGCGTGGCACCATTTAGGGATCTGGTCGGCTGGTAGGCTGCTAGTGGGGGCATGGCACCCATTCAGGGATCTGGTCGGCTGGTAGGCTGCTAGTGGGGGCGTGGCATCACTGTTGGGTTACCAGTGATGACCCACAACTAACTAAGGGTGATTACTGACAAAGTTTACCCCCCCCTGGCAATATTCCTCACCAATAAGTTTGTTGCTAATACTTGTTTACACAAACACACACACACACACACACACACACACACACACACACACACACACACACACACACACACACACACACACACACACACACACAGTCCACACCCCTCACAATTGACAGACAGGTATTAATACCAGTCATGGCAGTAGTGGATGTTGTCCTTTCCTGATTGCGTGACACTTGCCGGCAGTGTAGCCAACACTCGAGGAACCGCTCACGCAAACACCTCCATTACTGTCAAGAAGTGTATCGCTTGTGGCCTCTCGTGCCCGTAACTCATTCAGCCAAGGAGGCCAGCCTCCTGAAAAGAGAATTAGTTCGGGTTGCTCCTAAGTGCATTGCAAAATTACTTCAAAATGTCTAAACAAAATGTATTCACTTTATTGATGGTATTTTATAATTCAATTTCCTAATTAATGTATAATAATATTTCAGCACATATGCTAGTCATTGTATATATTCAGTGTCCTCGTTGAAAGGCGATATATTCATCATCATTGAACTACAGTTATTCATTTAGTAATGAACTACTTTTCAATAACGCCTCTCTTCCCCCTCTACATAAGAAGAAGGGAAGGGAGGAGGCAGGCTGACAGGATGGAATAGGAGTAGAGGGAGCGAAGGACAGGAAGGGGATCCAGCTCCATCTACGACCACATAATAATTTGATTAATCCAACCTATCCTTCAAAAAAAAGAACATTACCCATTGCGACTGTGGGTTGTATGTACACAAATATAACTTCTGGCATACCCCCAGAAATAATATATTATTATCATCAAAATATAACCTGATTTCTAATACTAACATTACTAAAAGTAATTGTAGTTGACATGCGACTCTTGTGCACAAAGGATTGCACTTACTGCATGTGATCTCGGCACACACATTCTTGTCACGTACTCTTAGTCTGCCAAGAATGTTGTCACAAGTTAGTGTGATGACTGGAAGTTAAAGGCAGTTTTGTGATGTAAACAAAACGCATTAATGTTCAAGCACCACTGTGTTTGTGGCTTGTTTGGTTCAGATGTTATCAGACGCATGTTGCCTCTAGGTGTTATTGGACTTGTGCACTGGTTCACGACGTTGGTGTATAGTTGTGCACTGGTTCACGACGTTGGTGTATAGTTGTGCACTGGTTCACGACGTTGGTGTATAGTTGTGCACTGGTTCACGACGTTGGTGTATAGTTGTGCACTGGTTCACGACGTTGGTGTATAGTTGTGCACTGGTTCACGACGTTGGTGTATAGTTGTGCACTGGTTCACGACGTTGGTGTATAGTTGTGCACTGGTTCACGACGTTGGTGTATAGTTGTGCACTGGTTCACGACGTTGGTGTATAGTTGTGCACTGGTTCACGACGTTGGTGTATAGTTGTGCACTGGTTCACGACGTTGGTGTATAGTTGTGCACTGGTTCACGACGTTGGTGTATAGTTGTGCACTGGTTCACGACGTTGGTGTATAGTTGTGCACTGGTTCACGACGTTGGTGTATAGTTGTGCACTGGTTCACGACGCTGGAGTATACTTGTACACTGGTTCACGACGTTGGTGTATAGTTGTGCACTGGTTCACGACGCTGGAGTATACTTGTGCACTGGTTCACGACGCTGGAGTATACTTGTGCACTGGTTCACGACGCTGGTGTATACTTGTGCACTGGTTCACGACGCTGGAGTATACTTGTGCACTGGTTCACGACGCTGGAGTATACTTGTGCACTGGTTCACGACGCTGGAGTATACTTGTGCACTGGTTCACGACGCTGGTGTATACTTGTGCACTGGTTCACGACGCTGGTGTATACTTGTGCACTGGTTCACGACGCTGGAGTATACTTGTGCACTGGTTCACGACGCTGGTGTATACTTGTGCACTGGTTCACGACGCTGGTGTATACTTGTGCACTGGTTCACGACGCTGGAGTATACTTGTGCACTGGTTCACGACGCTGGAGTATACTTGTACACTGGTTCACGACGTTGGAGTATACTTGTGCACTGGTTCACGACGCTGGAGTATACTTGTGCACTGGTTCACGACGTTGGAGTATACTTGTACACTGGTTCACGACGTTGGTGTATACTTGTACACTGGTTCACGACGTTGGTGTATACTTGTGCACTGGTTCACGACGCTGGAGTATACTTGTGCACTGGTTCACGACGTTGGTGTATACTTGTGCACTGGTTCACGACGCTGGAGTATACTTGTGCACTGGTTCACGACGCTGTAGTATACTTGTGCACTGGTTCACGACGCTGGAGTATACTTGTACACTGGTTCACGACGCTGGAGTATACTTGTGCACTGGTTCACGACGCTGGAGTATACTTGTGCACTGGTTCACGACGCTGGAGTATACTAGTACACTGGTTCACGACGCTGGAGTATACTTGTGCACTGGTTCACGACGCTGGAGTATACTTGTACACTGGTTCACGACGCTGGAGTATACTTGTACACTGGTTCATGACGCTGGAGTATACTTGTGCACTGGATCACGACGCTGGAGTATACTTGTACACTGGTTCTAACCGTAGGGGAAACTGACTCTCCTGTCCCCGTGTCTCGCCTGATACTATGACTCTACCGTCACTCCCGTCATTGTAGTTCTCCCGTCACTGTAGCTCACCCGTCACTGTGGCTCATCCGTCACTGTAGCTCACCCGTCACTGTAGCTCACCCGTCACTGTGGCTCACCCGTCACTGTAGCTCACCCGTCACTGTAGCTCACCCGTCACTGTAGCTCACCCGTCACTGTGGCTCACCCGTCACTGTAGCTCACCCGTCACTGTGGCTCACCCGTCACTGTAGCTCACCCGTCACTGTGGCTCACCCGTCACTGTGGCTCACCCGTCACTGTGGCTCACCCGTCACTGTGGCTCACCCGTCACTGTGGCTCACCCGTCACTGTGGCTCACCCGTCACTGTGGCTCACCCGTCACTGTAGCTCACCCGTCACTGTAGCTCACCCGTCACTGTAGCTCACCCGTCACTGTAGCTCACCCGTCACTGTGGCTCACCCGTCACTGTAGCTCACCCGTCACTGTAGCTCACCCGTCACTGTAGCTCACCCGTCACTGTAGCTCACCCGTCACTGTAGCTCACCCGTCACTGTGGCTCACCCGTCACTGTAGCTCACCCGTCACTGTGGCTCACCCGTCACTGTAGCTCACCCGTCACTGTAGCTCACCCGTCACTGTAGCTCACCCGTCACTGTGGCTCACCCGTCACTGTAGCTCACCCGTCACTGTAGCTCACCCGTCACTGTAGCTCACCCGTCACTGTGGCTCACCCGTCACTGTGGCTCACCCGTCACTGTGGCTCACCCGTCACTGTGGCTCACCCGTCACTGTGGCTCACCCGTCACTGTAGCTCACCCGTCACTGTAGCTCACCCGTCACTGTAGCTCACCCGTCACTGTAGCTCACCCGTCACTGTAGCTCACCCGTCACTGTGGCTCACCCGTCACTGTGGCTCACCCGTCACTGTAGCTCACCCGTCACTGTAGCTCACCCGTCACTGTGGCTCACCCGTCACTGTAGCTCACCCGTCACTGTGGCTCACCCGTCACTGTAGCTCACCCGTCACTGTAGCTCACCCGTCACTGTAGCTCACCCGTCACTGTAGCTCACCCGTCACTGTAGCTCACCCGTCACTGTAGCTCACCCGTCACAATAGACTCTTAAAAAAATTCGATTTTATGAGTCAAATTCAAAGTTTAACATGTAATGGCATTATTTTTTTCCCTCAAATATTATTTATTTACACATTATGCATTTTACACGTCTTATTTAATATTCCAAGGAGCCTGAAGGCTGATGGACGTCCATAAAAGTATTTATGATAATACCTGTATTGTTGGGCTCTTGGGTTTCTAAGTTTTTAAATTTTTTATTTGCAGGTAAATGGATATGTTCGGGTGATTCAACTGTTCAACGACAAGGTTAAGTAATGTTGTAGCTTTTTGTACGTAGAACTTGAAACACACACACACACACACACACACACACACACACACACACACACACACACACACACACACACACACACACACACACACACAGGTGGAAACTGAGTGCCCAAATGAGCCACAGAGATATTAGAAAGAACTTTTTTAGTGTCAGAGTGGTTGACAAATGGAATGCATTAGGAAGTGATGTGGTGGAGGCTGACTCCATACAGTTTCAAGTGTAGATATGATAGAGCCCGATAGGCTCAGGAATCTGTACACCTGTTGATTGACGGTTGAGAGGCGGGACCAAAGAGCCAGAGCTCAACCCCCGCATGCACAATTACATGAGTATAATTAGGTGAGTACACACACACTCACACACACACAGCGCCTGTGTGCACACATTTAACATTCTGATGGATTCAATACAGTTAATTCGTTCTTGACTCTCATATATATTTTCTACAACAAGATGACGACAGTCAAATACGAGAGAGAGGAGAGAGATGAGAGATGAGAGAAAGAGAGAGAGAAAATGAGGAGAGAAAGAGAGGAGAGAAAGAGAGGAGAGAGAGGAGCTGGCAGATACTGACTGCAACTTCTTACACTGCCACAAGATGTTGAACCTGTTCCTTACAAGCAACTCATATGGAAACTAAAGAAACAGTCACGTATATCATGAAGGTTGATATGTCAAGGAATATCATATAAATGTTTCACTCGAGCTTTATTCGTAAGTGACTTCTACCAATCATTACAACTGTTGCTGGAGTGAACAGGTGTACACCTGCAA